ATGCCACTCAAGCCTCGACACAGAGATAAGGACGACACCCGCATCCTCATCGGCAAGTGGTCACAAGATCTGTCAGCATCGCCGAATAAGAGGAAGAGAGACGAGGATGACGAATCGCCTACCAAAAGGCGCAGGAGTCGACGCAAGGGTCCACTACCTTCTTGAAAATAGCGAAGACCGACTTGGGTTCAGCAAGTACGACCACCTCTGGGCGGGCAACGGGCGGGCGAAACCTTTCGGTAAACCCAGCTTTCGCAGCACGGATAATGTAGTTTCTGGAGGATATCAAGATACGCTTTTGGTTGAAATCTCGAATCCGGGCCCGCTCGCAGCGCTCCCATCTCGCGAGAGCGAGGCGCTTGAGGTCCTCGATGTCGCCATCGGTATCGGCACTCCACCCGACATACTGAGCGGCGGCGATCTGGTTGCTATGATCTTTGACGTCGAATGAGACTTTCTCTTCTCCTTTGCCGGAGGAGATGCCAACTCCGAAGTATGCTGGCTGAGGCAGATCTCAGAATCGTGCAAGGGGTGGAGGCATCACTTCGTTCGAGATGAAGGATTGAAGATGGGCTTTTTTCGGTTTATCGGCAAACCGGTGAGTGTCGCATTGGTGCTACTACCTGGTGCATGCTCCTCTTGCGCCTGTTGGACAGCTACCTTTCGGCACCCATCAATCTAGTTCTCTCACGAAATGGAAACGCATCGAGCGGACCCGAATTCGAGAGTCTAACCAGGAAATACCCTTATATGTGTATTGTCTTTGATTGCCGACAAAACAAGCTTATCGCGAGTGACTTTTTCAAGGTCCTGGCATGGGACGATTATCATGTCGTCGCCTAAACGCCAAGTGGCTGTACTTTGAGATAGAATTGGTGATCCAGTATCAATTGTTCGGGGTCTTGAAAAGTTCGACTCTGAAAGTCAGGTCCAGCGTTTCAACAACACGCCCGAATTCTGTCCATCACAACGTGGATGTCTCTGTCCGCTCGTTCCACAACTCGAGAGATATCTGAATCACGAAGTGGCTCTTTTAGTTGTCCAATGCCCAGAACGAAACTGTCGTTTGAACCCCAAGATGCTTTACCCTCTTGTTTCACAGATATCTTTGTTGCCGCCTTGACTGATTGTAAGTTGTTCCGACATATAACAATATTCTACTAATTGGGATAGATTTCGCTTTACATGGTGTTCGTTGCATCACCATGGACTTTCGCAAATGATGTCGACGTAGTGTTGGCCATAAGAGATGGCCAGGTTTGACAAGTGCCGAGTTCAACGTGTGCGGATTGGCGACAATTGGTGAATTATACATTGTATACAACGTCTAAGGTATCCGCATAATAGCAACAGTGACCATTTCAAGCAATGCTTGCAGTGGGATCCGTCCACTTCACAGAATCGCAGAAATTTCTCTCCTCCTGGGCAAGGTTCACTACATTCCCTGGCATCCACGACTCTTCCCCTCACTGACCACGTCAATGTCCCATGAAGCATACGAAGCTGTTTACCCGTCATTGGCTCCATCTTATCGCTGTTTCATGCACCAGCAAGCAGCTCTTGATATTTAGGAGTTCATCAGCTATCATCAGTGTGTAGTGTCAAGTATCCCACTATTCAGTTTGGCCTCTGTGCCTTCGTATGACATGGGAGATGGCAGTTCTCTTCTGCCTAGTCATAAGTCCTTTTACGGCGTGACCAATATCCAAGTACTCACAGAACTGGATAAAACCCTACACGCTCTACGAGATATCCCCAAGGTCATGCGACGTCGTTGTTGCCAAGCTTTGATGGTCACCGAATCCCTTCAACGACCACCGGGAATCGATATTGGCTGGACACACGGTAGATAGGCTAGGGGACCTCGATCCTAAATGACAAAAAGACTTAGGTAACTTCGTATAAGTTTAGACTAAATTTAGGATAAGTTTAGCATAAGTTTAGGATACCTCTTACGGAGTTTATTTTAACACCCACCCAAGATAGGTATGTGATGCGGCCTAAATGATCCCAGTGACTAAAATATAAATCGACAAATTGCTTTCCAAGTGAACCAATATGAGAATTCCAGTTCTAAAATATTGAAATCGAAACAATATATGTGTATGCGAATGTGTGTAGGATATGTATAAGGGGTATCTAAACTAGCTATGCTCAACAATTTACCAGGTGTATGCAACCAATCTATCGAATACCAGGCCAGAACCAAATCAACGATATCTCGAACTCGAAGATGCTCGTGCTAAATCTTCAGCCTCCGACATCTCCAACAGACTGACAGCCTCGTCGGCATCATCTTCATCATCGGATTGTCCCAGCTCAGCAGCAGGGTCCTCACTGGTCTGTTCGAGAGGGCGGCGCTTCTTCTCAAAGTCCTGCTTGTGCGCTTCGGCAAGCATGCGTGAGAATGTGCGTTTTGGTGGTGGGGGGGGCGCCGCTCCTCCTGTCCTGCGTCGAGACAAGCCTTCTTCTGCTTGACCGGCTGAGACGGCGGTGGACTCGGCTGTGCCTAGGCGGGAGGGTGTTTCGAGTGAGGCAATACCTGCAGTGTCATCGGGTTGGTGGCTGGGGGCGGTGCTGTCCATACTGGCACGAGCAATAAGGGGCTCGATTCTATAGGGGAGAGGCACGTCGCGAGAGGCCTTGTACTGAGAGACGTTTCCGCAGTGTTCGTTCTCAACGCGAAAGAGAGTCCACATGCCTCGACGGGTGACTTCCATGAAGGCGACCATGAATGAGACGATAGTGGAGTGTTGTGTGTTGTGGGTGAAAATGGCATAGAAGATCCAGGCAAACCGAAGAATGGGGTCTACCACCATGATGAAGTAGTATAGCCATCGTCGCTTCAGTGCAAGAATATCTCGAAGACACCAGTGTGTTGAATTAGGTTGAAGAAGAGAGAAATCCATAAAAAGATCCCAGAAAGCTAGTGGTGGTCAGAAGTGTTTGCGGATGAAGAGATAAGCAACTTACAGCAATAGATACTGTTAATTGTCGAAAAAGTAATGAATAAAGCAAGATGCATGTTGGAATCATGTATACGGTACAAAGACAGCATGACAGCAGCAATGATAGTCGCCGTATACTTGCCACCGTTGACTAGATGAGGAAAGACATTGCGTGTATCTTTATATCGACGAAGGCACTGTAAGAATCGCCAAATAGGTGGAAGGGCAGTCAAGAATCCAAGGGCCCGTGAGTGGCTAGAGTTGCACTGCACCGGATTCTGCCAGTAGTTGGCATATAAACAGAAGAACAGTTCAATATTCTGTGATTGTTAGTAATTCCTCATTTTCATTTTTGATTCTTTGCACTTACTGCGGTAGCATATGTAAGTGAACAGTAAATATCTCCGAGGAAGAAATCACGGAACTCGACGGGGTAGAGTCCAGCCAAGAGCAAACGCCACTAGCTCTTGTCAGCAGGTTTCAATGATGAGAGAGGGAAGACTTACATGAGAATATGCAAACCAGCGCCGGCTTTTATAGAACAACGTAGGAGCAGGAAAGAATAAAATAACAATAGTAAAGAAGATAAGAATGACCGGATAGTAGATGTACATGTCCGGGTCGCCATATCTACTAAAGTTCACCCACATGAAGAGGCCCAGCACCAAGAAGAAGAAACTTGGAAATTGGGCCAGCTCTCTCCAGTCTAGATGATGCCGCTGGTCAAACTCAAAGATGAAGGGGTAGTTGACTTTGTTCTGGTTCCAGATCAAACAGTCAATGCAAAAAAGCGAGAACAGATAGAGCATGAGGAAATAGCCTCCATAGATCTGCATGAGATAGCTTGTCCGCACGCGTACTTCGTCATCATCATCGTACAACAACTGTGCTCCGTAAATAAGACCCTGGATCGCGAACACAGCACCAGTGCCAATGAGTAGACCATTCTGGAACATGCCGATTGACTGGTCTTCAGGCTTCTTGTTCAGACTGCGGAGCTTGCCAGCGGCTAGCTTGTGATTACCGCGCTCGAAATAGCGAGCATACAGGTCTTCCACCGTACGAATATGTCCCTCGAGTACATCGCTGTTGACAAACCATGACTGGTTGACCTTTTCGTTGAGGTAACGATAGGGGGGTCGAGCATTGACAGCCTTGTCGTACTTCTTGTTGAGCTTTCGAAATGCCGTGCGGTTGAGCATTGCGTATGACTTGAGCAATTCAAGCCCACGATAGAACTCTTGAAGTGCGAGTTTGAGCTTGCGCTTTGCTGTGCGGTATGAGACCTCGTGGTGGGTTGGGCGACGGATGTAGTCTCTCTCAGCGTCACCGACAACGCCACCATTGATATTGGGTGTCGTGTTCATCTTCTGCAACGCCTTCGTGTTGGGTCCGATAGGGAATATCTTGGACTTGATAGGATCCATGATTCCATTGAGCTTGCCATTGGCGCTGTCATGGGTTCCTTTTTTCTGGGGATTCTGCTCACGGGCTCGCTCATCAGCCATCTCTTGAATTCGACGGTTGCGCATCTCGTGAAGCTGTACTCTCAAAATTTCCAACCTCTGACCAGCCTGTTCTTCCTTCATCTTGTAGAAACTCTCAACCTTTTCGAGTTCTGAATCGAGGAAATCAAAGAACTCTCGCTCCTTCTCCTTAACCAGGTCGAAGTTCTGCATATTGATATCGACTCTGCGGTCGCTTTTTGCTGTTGATTGGTGGGTAAATAGTCGTCGGAGGTGGGAAGGCGAATCCTGAGCACCAGATTCTGATGGTTTCTTGGTCGAATTGTTTACGTCCGGGTATGCAATTGTCGACACGACACTGGCTGATGATGTTCGTCGAGGATCAATTCGCTGAATATTTCGTCGCATCGCCTCGGAGGGCCCAACAGTAGCAGGTGAACCGGGGAGGTCGCTCTCATGGTCATGAACTTTCAGCGCGGGGGCAGGTAGTTGGAATTCGGCATGTTTGGCGTCACCGGCCAAAGGCGATGATGGCTCAGGTGGTGTATTGACAAAGCTTCCGTACTGTCGATTGTCGCTATAATCTGTGAGGGACTCATTTTCGGCGGCTCTGCTTCGCGACGTGGGGATCGACCTTGGGGGCGCAACGGCTGCTACGGATGGAATTGTCGCAGAATTCAAAGCCGTGTTCTCTCTTGTGAATGGTTGTCGTGGTGTCGCAGGCGAAGCAAATGTGCCAGTGCGAAGCTGTCCAAGACCTCGAGGGGTTCCATTCGCACGAGCAAGAGCTCTACCGACAGCTTTGATGTGCTTCTTCCCTTGTTTGTAGTTGAGGTACTTGATGCGCCATTCTGCAGGTTCAAAGTTAGTTTGTTTCCAATCTACAAGATAATTATAATGTATTTACCAGGCACAGCTTCTCGCTCGAGCTCCTTGGCGAACTTCATGACAGCTGCTCACAGCCCAACGATAAGAGGACTATAAACTTGCAGCATCTAGAATTGGGATGAAGGTCGCTAAAGAATCTAAGTTAGGGG